GCAAAGGAAATGAATTAGAACAAAGTGTAATGGCACACACGGATGAGAATGTCACAATAAAACCCATATTTTGTATGCTAACCTACTTTTTTCTTTTCCTAAAGGAAAAAGAGGCAGCTGGCACTGTGGCAACCTCCTTGGGGTTCCCAGTCTACAGAATCTTGAGTCAAAGTCATCTGTGTCAGTTATCAAGCCTCAGGCATCATGTCACGGTCACAGAGCTTCAGCACGGGCTGAAATTGGAAATACATGTTTTTAAGAGGTAGGAATCTCAGGAATTCCTTCAAGGCGGATAGCTGCAGGGATGATAGAGAAGCCACAGTGCTCTCCTGGAGAGCCGGCTTCAGAGAAACCAAACCTTGTGAGGACCGCAATGCAAATGCCCAACAGGCATCCTGGGCCCTGCCTGCCTGAGACCACTGCTGCAGCGGTGGCTGAACCATCTTAGGAAAAGGACACTTAGAACACACTGTCTTGGCAGGTGTGGGACATGGGGGTCAGCTGACGGCATGCAGGAGATCCGGCAGGGAGTGAGGGAGTGGCTTGACGACTCTGGGACACCTGTGAAGTGCCATGGGGACCTAACCTCCCCACTTGCCTCTCTAGTCTCTAGGGGTTTCTCAGGGGCACACAGCACCTGGCAGGCACTTCTAGGACTGTCACTATGAAGGATTTAGCTTTTAAAAAAAGATATGCGGCCAAGGATACTTCTAATATTTAGACACATTATTTCATTATTTTTGATTCTGGGTACATGAAATGTGGGTGTGTCTGGCTTTTTATATGGCTCCTGGGGACTAGAACTCAGGTCTTCATGCTCGTGTAACATTCATCCATTGAGCCTCCAAATTTTTTGAGACTTAGGTACATTAAAAATAGAGAAAGCCAGCAAAGGACTACTGAAATAACAGTGTATATTGTAAGTGTGTATGTATAAGGATATGTAGCTTGCAGTTAACTGTGCGATGATTCTGCACAAAAATATTGTGAGGTCTTCAGTTTTGAATTCATGGGCCGGTAAGATTTCTTTACAATATTAATTCATGGTAGGTGATAGAACCCAGACATGGAACAGCTTTTAAAACTGTATGATGACCCCTTTTCCCCTAGCACTGTCTGTGTGCCTTTGTCTCAGTGTCCATCAATGTCATTGGAAGGTGATGTCAGAGAGATAAATTTGAGGCCCTTTAGTAGGTGACTTCTGAGACAAATAGCTTCCCCCATTTGGCTGCAGAGTCAGTCAGTCCTATTATCAAGTATGGCTTCTACGCTTTTATTTCTATAATTTGGGCAGAATTTTGTAGGAAATTTCTTGTTAGCCATCTGCATACTTCCAACGACTAAGGTCACATCTGTTTCTTTTGACTTAGGTGATTTGTTGCCAAAGCTAGTGAACAATGCTTGAATTTAGGCTAGTGGCTGTGGCTGTGGCTGTGGCTGGCCTGTAGTGCTGGCTACATTGTATATTTATAGTGTGTGGATTTTGTTTGTCATCCTCTCCTCCTCCCCTCCTCCTCCTCCTCCTCCTCTTCCTCCTCCTCCTCTTTTCCTGGCGCAGGGTCCCTGTGAATCCCAGGCAGACCTTGAGTTTACACTCCTCCTACCTCAGCCCCGGGGCATTGCTTTTCCAGGCATATGCCTCGACGTTTGGCTAGAAAGTCTGTTGTTTCCACATAAATTTGACTTTATGGATTTCTCCGAGCCTTTGTGACGCTCAGAGGTGCAGCTGCCTCAGTTGAGCAGTGTTTAAATTAGCACCAAATTACGCCGGGCTGCTCAGCTCTACTAATAGCCCCATTGGCCAGGCATGCTTTTTAAAATAGTGGGTCTAATGAGGTGGCCATTAGGTTGTCGATGGCAAACGGGAGTGATCGTCTGCAGTTGGTCACATAGCCCAAATATGTGAAGAATCTGGCAAAAATTTCTTTGGTATGTGACTCCACTGCACTATGCCAAACAGTTGGTGGCATCAAAATGTCTGTGAAGTTACTCAGTCATTGTGTGTGTGTGTGTGTGTGTGTGTGTGTGTGTGTGTGTGTGTTCTCACCTTCAGCACTCTTGTGTCTGTAGATTCAGTAGTCACTGACAGACTAGAGTGGAATAGCGCCTTACTGAGAGGTGGAGAGCCTGCCAGCTGGCCCTGTGGCCTGCTTGCCTCCCAGGGGTCTGTTCCTGACACCTGGTTCCAGTGCATTCTTGAGGGTAGGGGCCAAGCAGACCCTTGGAGTGACAGAAACATATACCCCATGCTGGAGCCAGGCAGTGAGGGGGAGAGGAGACGTGGATGGTGGGGGCTTTGTAAGGGGAGCTTTCAGATGTGTGTCTCCCTTCATGCGTGCACTCACAGAAACTCAAAGAGGCAGTCCTGGCCTCTCTGCCTCTGAGCCAGAAAGGGATGCAAGAGAATTCTCAGAGTTTCTCTCAGTGTCATGTCACAATCAAAACAAGCTGCTTCTCTCTCTCTCTCTCTCTCTCTCTCTCTCTCTCTCTCTCTCATGTACATTGGGGTTTTGTCTTTATTGTCCACTTTGTTTGAGACAGGGTCTTGCTATGTCTTTGTTGGCCTGGAACTCGCTATGTAGACCAGGCTTCTGCCTCCGAGGACTGGGATCAAAGTCGTGATCTCCTAGGCCTGGCAGAAACAAACTTGCTTGCTAGTTTTTAGAAATTCACTGAATTCCACCCTGGAATTCACTTCTGCATGCCTGGCTCCCCCTTACAATGTGGGTGACAGTTATGTGACTTGATCTGTTGCGGGTGTGGGAGGACTGGGGGGCTGGCAGTGGCACCAGGACCTATCCCAGGGGCATAAACTGGCTTTTTGGAGCCCATTCCCTGTGGTGGGATACCTTGCTCAGCCTTGATATGGGGTAGGGGCTTGGTCCTGCCTCAACTAGGTATGCCAGACCTTGTTGACTCCCCAAGGAAGGCCATGCCCCCTCTGAGGAGTGGTTGGGGAGTGGGAAGGGGGGCAGAAGAAGGGGAGGGGGAACTGGGGTTGGCATGTAAAATGAAAAATAAAAATAAAAGAAGGCAGGCATTGTATTATTGCATTACTCCGATGCTGTCCTGAGAAAAGTCCACACAGGAAGCAGGGATTCATTTCTAGACCATGTCAGACAGGGAGATATGAGGGGGAGCCAGGCTGAGTCTGCTTCCATCAGTTACTGGATGTAGGCTCTATGATGACAGTTAGGGTCGTCACCAATCTGATTACAGGAGAAGGCCCGTCCAGACACCCTCTCCACTGTTGCTAGGAGTTGTAGCTGGGTCATCCTCCTGGATTCCTGGGAATTTCTCAAGTCCGAGGTTTCTCCCTAACCCCATTCAGGCTCCCTCTATCAAGATCTCTCTTTCATTGCTCTCCCTCTCCATCCCTCCCTCAGCTCAGCCTTCTCAGGCTTCCCTCATGTTTCCACCCCCCCACACCGTTTACCCAGGAGCTCTTAACTATTTTCCTTCATTTGTGTCCCTCTTAGGGAGCCCCTTTTTCCTTAGGAGTGAACACATACCATGTTTGTCTTTCTGAGGCTGGATTCCCTCACTCAGGATGATTTTTTTTCTAGTTCTATCTATTTGCCTGCAAATTTCAAGACCTCATGTTTTGTTTGTTTTGTTTGGTTGGTTTTTTCCTCTGAATAGTACTCCATTGTATAAATGCACCACATTTTCTTTATCTATTCTTTGGTTGAGGGGCATCTAGGTTGTTTCCAGGTCTGGCTATTGCAAATAATGCTGCTATGAACATAGTTGAGGAAATATCCTGTGGTATGTGCCCAAGAGTAATATTGCTGGGTCTTGAGGTTATATTGATTCTCAATTTTCTGAGAAACTGCCATACTGATTTCCACAGTGGCTGTACAAGTTTGCACTCCCACCAGCAGTGGAGGAGTGTTCCTCTTTCTCCACATCCTCTCCAGCATGAGCTGTCCATTGGCGCCATTCTGATAGGGATAGGATGGTATCTCAGAGTTATTCTGACTTACAATGCCTGTCTTCTGATTTATATTCTATGATGCGTGTCCATGCCTTGCTGTTGTCTTGAGATGACAAAGTCCTTGAATGCTATGACAGTGTCATGTTTGCTTCCTCAGTAGCAAGGACCCACAAAGTGTGGATTTATTGCCCTGCAATGGATCTCACATGGAATCTTACCAATTCATATTTTGAGGCCCCAAGCTAGAGGATTCTGGTTCAGAGGCCTGGACACAGACTCTGTAGAGATAACTCCCGAAAAACTGGGTGGGGCTGCTCCCCTCCGGAGTGTGTTTCTCGATGAGCACTGTACACTCACAGAGCAGCGTAGGCTTCTGAGTGGACTCATCTCCTTCTCCATCCCTGAGTTCATGAAGTGCAGCTCATGAGTCCAGACCCTGATGCTAAAGTCAGAGACACACACATGCTTGCTGTTTAGAAATGTTCGCTGCATTTCACTCCCCAAGTAATTTACTCCTGGTTTTTACTTGGAATAGATTTTAAAATACAATTTTTTCTTTCATCTCTTGTGTGTGTGTGTGTGTGTGTATGTGTGTATGTTAAGTGTGTGTGTGTGCGCGCGAGCTCAAGCACTCTTGCAAGAATGCCATGGTGCATGTTTGGAGGTCAGAGGACAACTTGCTGGAGTTACCAATCACTTCAACATGTGGGTCCTAGAGGTTGAATTCAGATCCTACGTCTTGGTGGCCAGTGCCTGTACCCACCGAGCTATCTCCCCAACTGCAGGCAAACTTTCCTACAAGGAAAGTGAGCATCACTTAATTCTGTCCCTGCTTCCTTCATCACCCTTGTTTCCTGGGAGTAGACTGGGAAATATTAACCCATGCTTAATTCTTAATTCTGTATCTCTTCTTTTTCCATCAAAACCACCCGTTCCCCTGTTTACTCTTTCATCATTTGTTGGCGGCAGCACAGGCCCAGTGGTGACCCTGGGAGTGCAGCCAAGTAGAGCAGGCTTTGCCATCAGAGCCAAAGAGTTTGTGATATAAACAGTTATGATCTCACTTCCTGGTCCCTGGCTTTGCCTTTTCCGCTGAGCTGATGCTTGGAATGTACCCGGTGCCTGCAATGTGACTCTTTTTCTTTTTCCCAAGACAGAGTTTCTCTGTCCTGGAGCCCTCTCTGGAGACCAGGCTGGCCTCCAACTCAGAGATCCTCCTGCCTCTGCCTCTCGAGTTCTGGGACCGCCATCTGACTGTGACTCTCTCTGTTCTTGGCAGTCAGAAAGTACTTCAGCGTTGCAGCTCACAGAGGAAATGAGCTATGCAGAGGGAACTGGGAAGACCATCGGGAGGAGACCACTGAAGGGGACCCTAGCCTGACATTTCAGAAAGTAGATATCTGTCCCTCCTGACTGGAATGCCCTCTCATGCCATGGAGCACTCTCTTCAGGTAACTTCAGTAGTATGCCTAAAGTGCTGCACACATCCCCAAGGTGAGACGTACAGCACGGCAGGCGTAGTAGATGTGGTTGGTGTCCCGGGGGTACCAACATGGCACTCCTTCCTTTCTGTGGATGGCCTCTAACCATACAGACCTGTGACTACCTGCCTGGGGCTGTCTGAGATGGCAGGAGCTGGCGTGGCTCACTGTGTACAGCAGTGTTTAAACTATGAAGAAGGGAAGTTAGTAGGTGGATCCCTGGGGCCCAGTCTGGGGCATGGCAGTGTCGTGTCCATGGAACCTCCCCAGATAACAGCCTTCATGCTCCCTGGTTCCCTGATGGTCCTCCTGGGACACCCCCACTGCCCCCCTGTCAGACAAAAGGTCTTAATCCTAGTTTGGGCCCAACCTAACAACAATAGCACACATCCATTTTAACAGCATATATTTTAGTATGTAGTGAAAAAAATTGAATTGATAACTTCATCTGTGATTTCACACATATTACTGAAAGCTTATAACTCGAAGCTGAGAGTTATCACACAGGCCTGTAAAGGCCGCATTCTGAAGGCTGAAGCAGGGCTGGGTGAGTGGTAAGTCAGCAAGTGGACTGCAATGTATTGGTGACTGTTGGCAGCTACTGCTGACTTGTCAGAGTCAAGGGTACCTGCCAGGGTGAGGCTCCTCAGATGCTTTGTGGTTCTCTGCAGCCTTGAAGTTTGCAGCTTTATGTAATCAAATCCTCTTCCTCCCCAGGTTGTCGTCCCTTAGTCTCTCAAAGGTGGATATCATTAGAAGTCTTAAAAAAAAAAAAACAGACAAGGGAGAAAAGGAGGGAGGGGGGAAAGGGAGGAGGAGGGAAGGAAGGAAGAAGAGGAAAGGGGAGAGGAGAGAGGGAGGGAGAGAGGGAGAGAAGGAGAGAGAGAGACAGAGGGAAGAGAGCAGAGTGAGGAAAGGCAGGAGCAAGCATGAAGAAGCTATTAAAACACACAGATGCCCCAAGAATCAAGAAAAATGAGGTTGTTTTTTGACACATACAAAGCAGGTTTCCTTTCTTTAAAAATTGAAGCTATACTTATTGTTTTATTTTTAAATTTTTATTTAGGTGATAACTGTGATGGTGTCGTTGTTTTATAAGGGAAGACCTCTGCTGATAGCAGAGCCAGAAAACACAGGGAACCCAAGTATCTTAGTGCCTGATTTTGATGCTAATGATAAATGTAAGAAACCGGGCGTTTTACAGATAGGTGTGTGCTGTGCCATCAAAAATGATTAAGTTGGGATTAGACAGAGCTGTAAAGGACAGAGAATCCGAAATAACACGGCCTGAAAATGGTTGATTTTTCTCATGTGAAACACTGGGTAAATGGTCTCAGATTTGTGTGATAATTCATCAACACAGGGAATCTTGGGTTCTTTCTCCATGTCACTTCATTCACACGTCCAGTCCTTGCCCAGGAAGGCTGCTGCGGCTCAAGCCATCACATCCACACCCCAGCTGCAGAAGGAGTTAGAGAAGCTGCTCCTGAGGGGCATGCCTGTGAGACTGTACACACCGCATCCTCCCACTTACACTTCTTTGGCCAGAAGACAGCTGGACTTTGCGAGGAAGACTAGTCTTTATTTTGGGAGTCCACATGTTTGGTAAATCGTCCTCTTGAAATGTCAGAGGGAGCGGGCAGGGAGTGGGTGGCGCCAGCATCACAGTCACCCAGTTGTCTTGCTCCCACGTACTTCCAGGTGGATAGATTCGGCCTGTTATTAAACCATCAGTCCTACTTACTGCACTAATGACCCTGCTTGGCCCCGAAATTACTCCTAATTAAACCTTTGTTGAAGCTCATAGACAAAGCACATTTTTCATTTGCCTTTCTGTCTGATGGGCAGGATTCAGCCCGTGTAACAATCACGCAGACTCTTTATTCTCTTCTCTGATCATCATAATTTGGCCATTTTCTCATTATTCAAAGGCAGGAAAAGATGAAAAAGAACGTCTGGGTGGTTTTTCTCTTCATGACATTTGCAGAGGGCTGAAGTAGAAGATATTGAAATAATAACTAAGCCTTCGGGTTATCTGCCCTAGAAACAGTCCTCAATGGCAGGCGCTAGGCAGAGTCCCTTTCTTTGCTGTCTGTAATTGCAACAGTAGCCCAGGGAGAAGGTAATTACATCTCCATTTGGGGGGAGAGATTTGCAGAGGAAACAGTTGCTACTGTCCTTCCCACTGCTCTGCCCACTGGCTCCCTCCTGCAGGAGTTTAGAAGCACCACTCTCTGCTGCAGAGGCAGTTTCCAGACGAACACAGACTGTGCTAAAAAGTCTACCCAAAAGATGCAAGCAAAGTGGCCAGGCCTGCTGCGTGCCCATCATGGTGTCTCTGCCGTCCACACTTAGAACTTTGCTGTTAGCAGCACTTAGGGACACTTGAAAGAGTGGCCCCTGGAGCGTTCAGGCCCAGGCACTCTGAAGATGATGGAACAGAGTACCCTCATGCGACAGGACTCTGAAAGACCAAAGATGGATTTGGGATGGCATTTACTTGGCATCTCATCTTGAGAAGGGACAGTCATCACTTCTACACATGGCATGCACACACACGTGTGTGTTCTTTCTCTCTCTCTCTTACACACACACACACACACACACACACACAAACACACACACACACTGCTTGGACCAGGGACTCTTGTTTAAACCCCGATAGCAGAGCCTGGGAGTGGTCCCTCTGCTAATCCTCAGATGATCTTGGCCACTGTTCCAAAGGGTCGGGGCATAGGATTCGAATGCAGAATCTCAGTACTTGATTGAGCTCGGGCAGTGCCTCTTGTGCGGTTGAAATGCAGGCAGTGGGCAGTCAAGTGTGGAGAGGGTGTGTGGAATGCATCCTTGGGGGCATTTTTAAGGTGAAGTGGGCTGTGGATCGGCATGCAGGAGCAGAGGTTGCCCTCCTCACCCCTGCAGGAGGGCTGGCCTCAATCCCATCAGAGTGCTTGGCCATTGACTGGCCAGCCAGCCTCTGGCCACCTTCTGCCTTTCATCCCTGGGCCGGGCTGGAGACTTCCCTTGTTGGACGTCTGTCTCATGCTCAGCTGTGCTACCTCTGTATCGATACCTGTCCCGACTGGCCAGACCTTGTGGGAGATATTTGACGATCACCTTTGACCCTCAGCTGTCATCAAGCAAGAGGGGTTGTGGCTTTGATACCACAGTTGGGAGAGTCCTCTGGGTTGGGAGCCTCACATTCTGCATGTTTATGCTGTGATGTGATGGAGTTTGCAAGGTCCCCTCTAGGGGAGAGAGCTAGCTCAGCCAGCCTGGTGGGAGGCCCTGCACAGCAGCAGCCAGTTAGTCTCTACCTCTGTGGGATGCAGTCAGGGGGCAGGGAGATACTGGAAGGGGCGTCCTTGTTGGGCTATTATTTTAATGTGGATTCCTCACTCCAAGCTGATCCTGGTATGAGTTGGTAAAGGAAATATAGGCAAGGATTGGGGAAGTGACACTGGGCAGGGAAAGGCAGACAGTAAACCAAGTGTTGTCAAGTCAGTCACCTCTGTGGACAGCTGGGACTCAGGTGGGGAAGTGCCAAGAGATTAACAGAGGACTGGGTGGCACCTGGACCTGGTATTAGGCAGTCTAGCTGGTTCTAAGAGCCAGAGGAATGGCTGGATAAGTGTTGGGACCAGGCCTGTGTGTTCAGCAGTGGTTCCCACAAGGGGTTGAGATGGAGCTTTGGCCAAAGTTGCTAGAGTTGTCAATGTACTAGGCAAGGCAGAGAGCTGTAAGCATGTGTATGTGTGTAATGTGTGTGTGTGTGTGTGTATTTGTGTGTGTGTAGTGTGTGTGTAGTGTGTAGTGTGTAATGTGTGTGTGTGTGTGTGTGTGTGTGTGTGTGTGTGTGTGAATTTAGGGCCAGAGGTTCAGTTACCAGATGCCAAGACTTAAGTCCCACTCTGGGTCCTGAGGTCCTGCTGGGAATGTCACCCTCGTGTTTGATGAGGGACACTGTTGACTGGTAGGACCACACATTCTCATCTCTGCTGCCAGGGAAGCTAGGAGCCCTAACTGGCTACGTGCCCTTGAGAGAGGGTATTGAAACATTGGAAACTTAGATGAGAGTGACTGCTGTATTCCTCAGACATCTGGCTCAGTCACAGACACTTCCCTGAATGCCCCTTCCCAGTCTCTGGGGACCTTAGAGGTCAAAATTGTTTGAGAAGAAAGTTGTGAGAATAACCCAGCTTGGGGAAGATGGGAGCACAGAGACACACTGCTCATAGGGTTGTTTCATCGTCACAGCACCTCTTCTCTAGAACAGAACCAGGGTGATTGAGCTTTGGGGAACTTTGGGGGTCCCCACGCTGGAGCCTAATATCCTCTGTGTCTTCCAGCTAGGAAGCTTTTAAATCCAAACTGTTAATTTCCCCTTTTCTTCCAAAGATCAAAACAAGCAATTTTTGTTTCATATTCATTTATATATTTTAATGCATCCTTTTAAATCTTGTTTACCTTTATATAAAGCACTTCTAAATGACCCCATTTCTGATTGATATTAAATATTTAATATTGTAAATCCATCATATGGGTGGATGGTGAATGGCAGATGCTCTAGGGGAGCATACAAATCCCCCAAATACATGGCATTAAATAGGCTTATTTTTCACCCAGCCCTCCTATATATCATGGCCCTTATGAACCTTATGTGTTCTTGCTTTGTGTGGCTTGAAAGGCTGGCACACAGAAAGTGTTTTAGGGAGAAAATTTGGATAAGAGTTAAAAACTCATGATAGTAAATATTCAGCAGGCATTTACATTATTGTTTCAAAACAGCTTTTGTGATGCGGGTAACATGTTTTTCTGTCAGCTGTTCAATATTTATTTTAACATATTAAACAGCCCCAGAAATATTCATTGCACGGAAACCTTTCTGTCTGAGTGGATTAAATTTACAAGCTGAATTAATGGTATAAATTGCATTTACATAATTCATTTCCCACTAAGCAGAATTTATTTAGTTGGCATCTCTGCTAATATATATATTTATGGAGAAGACAGTACCTTTCTGTTGGCCATGTAGTTAATTTAGCCTAAGTAGAACTTAGAAGGCATCTCTGTGTGTCGTTACCAGATGTCCCCCCTCCACCAGACACCATCTAAATGTGACAATTAAATAGCCTACGTGTGCAGTCTCATGCAAGGAGGCAGATCTGCTGAACAAGCCCGAGCCCCTTATTTGGCTTTCCAGAACATTCCGTGATGTCTTTACAAATCATCTACTACTTGTACTTTGCTAATTTTGTGTAAAACAGCAACACCAGTAAGAGATGAAAAAACAGTCTGAAGATCTCATGGAAACTTTGAAACTGTCAACTCAAGCTGGAATGGATTTGAGATGGAAAAATAGAGAGCAGGAAGGAAGTTGGGGTGAGGGGACCAGAAAGGCTGTGATCTGTCCTTCAGCAGGCACCTCATTTTCACAGAGGGGGTGACAGCCAGTTTTGCATTTGCTGGTACAATTTTGAGTTTCAGAATGCTTGAACAATGTTGTAAGTCATGTCAATTATTAAGGGCCCCTTTATTATCCAGTGTTGTGTGTCTTATGTTGTTACCAGCAGAGGGGAGATTGCTTCACCTTGCAAGGCTTGGCTTTGGGCAGCAGGCGCTGAAGCAGGCATTGTTCACCTCAGTCTCCCACTCCTCTCCCCGAGTGCTCCCCTCAATCGCTCCCGCTTTCTCCGAGTATCCTATTAAGTCTCTTTGTGAAGAAAGACAGCTGCTTGTTTTCTCTCAAGATAATGGTTGGAAAATGTGCTTTAAAACACTCCCAGGGAGCCTTCTTTCTGTAGGGCCGTCTCTGTTCTCATTGCTATCATCCGTCTGGAAGAAGACATTCACTAATTCCATGCTAACAAAAATTCACAGGTTCACAGGACATAACATGGTATTGGAGTCACCACGGAAACCAAGGGTCATCACTCTGTTCTCAGCTCACAAGGCTTCTTCTTTTTCTGTCTCTCCATACTAGTTTTTAAACCAAGGTAAGATTTTTTATACAGTTGGATGTGCAGATTTTAAGACTATAATTTGCTGAGTCTGGCCCAGTGTATCTTCCCACGATCTCTATTGAGGCATAAGACATTTATTTCCATTACCCCAGAAAGTGCCCCCTCCTTGAAAAGCAACTATGATGGGATTGTGGTCACCATCAGGGGCTTTGGCCAGATTTTGTCCTTTATGTAAGCCGAGTCCTCTACAGGGTGTATTCTCTTGGGTCTAGCTTCTCCCCTCAGCCCACCAGTCTCAAAGTTTATCCACGAGGGAGAACAGACCAGCAGCTGCTGCCATGTCCTGTGGCCCACTGCGGTTGACCTGTTCTGTTCCTGGGTTTGTTAGTTATTTTATTTCCAGCTTTGGTTATTCTAACTACAATTGTTATAAATGTGTATCTATGTAGTACACATATGCACACATATATGTTTTTTTGTAGATATTTGCTTTCATTTCTCTTGGATAAGTGTATAATCACTAGTTTGTATGGTAGGTATGCATTTTACTCTATAAGAAATCATGACAGGATAAGACAGGGCAAGGGTTCCTCCATCTTATACTCTGGTTGACGCCATTCCAGGTTTAACTAGAATTTGATCTCCTTGAAGAGAAGCCCTGTGGGAAATTACCCAGCTCTACTCTAGGAACCAAAGGGCAAGAGGCCCAAGCTAACTTATTTCAGCTTCTGTTAAACTGCTTGCTTGTGCAAACTTCCACATCCAGCTACAGAGTGTGATGCCAGGATGTGGTTTCTGTCTTTAAAATCTCCCTTGTCTAAATGCTCAGCGCTACACTTGGGTTTCCAAATACCTGAGTGTAGCCCCAGCTGGCTGGAATAAATACTTTCAACCGGCTATAAATTGTGTCTGAGTGATCATCTCTGGTGGGCTCTGCATAACAAAAGTGACAGAGGGTTGTCCAAAGTAGCGGTTGAGTCCTTTTCTCTTTTAGGAAAAAACAAAACATGGCTATTGAAGAAATAATGGATTTCGTCTCTGGTGATTAGACCAAGAGACTATGAAATTTATATGAGAGTCAAGCAAGGTGTTATCTGTCCTGTTTTACTATTGTGGATGTTGTTTCACTTTTTATTTATTTTTTATGTGTATAGGTGATTTCCATGTATGTAACTGGTGCCCATGTAGACCAAAAGAGGGTATCAAATCTCCTAGAACTGGAGCTACAGACAGTTGTAAGTTCCCTGTGGGTGTTGGAAGAGCAGTGAGTGTTTTTAAGCTACTGAGCCATCTCCCTAGACCCTCTGTTTCTGCTACTCCTCTCCCTCTGGGCCCCACAACCAGGACTGTGAGCATGTACAACATTCCCAGCTTTGCCTTTCTTTTTGGCACATTTTTACTTTGGGGTCAGTGACAGGTCCAAAGGAAAGTCCAATTCCCCAACCTCCAAGAGGGAGTCCATATATCCAGAAATGAGCTCAAGCTGGACTATAGAGGATTTCTGGTGCTGAGATAGAGAACGTGGTTCCTATCTGCCAAAAGGAACCAACCATTCCCTACACCTCTGGGAGAAGGGACAAATGACCACCAGTGATTGTACATCAAGCAATTGCCAGCCTCCAGGCTCCCTGGGTATCACATTTGCCGTGTTACTCGTAATTTTCAAAGACCATGCTAGCATTCTAGTCCTTCTCAACTCCCCAGGCTTCCTTCCTCCCAGATACTTGGTGTCCTGGTCCCCCCTTGAATTCAGAGATCCGCCTGCCTCCCTTCTCCCAGTGGGGGGGGGGACCCACACACATACAGAGGGTTTCTGTAGCATTGGCTGTCTCGGAACCCATTCCGTAGACTGTTAGGTCTCAAACCCTGGACAACTGGCTGAGATGTCTATTAACATATCAGAGCAGACTGTGGCTGCCAAGTTCTCCCAGGAATCCTTAGTCCCTATCTGTTTCAGGGTCCTCCAGGATGACATGTCCCTCTGCTCTGAACTCTCTAGCCCAGGGGCTAGGCTGCCCTTCCCTATTTAATCCAGCCATTTTGGCTACAGCAGCCATTTCCCCCTTTTTGGCTTTTTTGTCTGTTGGTCTTTCCTCTCGCCTCTCATCACATGGCCTGGTCCAGTTTGCCTGGTGGGTCCACTCTGGACTCTTCCAGATGTCTGTTAATTTCCATGCTCTCCCTCAATAATCCTCTCCTCACATGCCCGGGAGCAGTCATGGCGTCCTTTTTATATCATTTTTTTTCCTTTCATAGACCAGGCTGGCCTTGAATTCAGAGATCTGCCTGCCTCCCTTCTCCCAAGAGCTGGGATTAAAGGCATGCAAGGTTCTTCATACTGCCTCTGCTATTCTCAAAATGTTCTTTCTATTCTCAATCCCGCAGATAGCCCTGACCATGTCCAGACTGTTGGCCATGTTCAGTCTACGTCTTTCTCTCTCAGTTTTGGACTCTTCCAGATGCCTCTGACCCCCCCCCCAACCTTCCCAAACCATGGAACAGCCACTTTGGCAGTTTCTGTACTACACCCCCTCGAATACAGAAAGGGCTTGATTGCTTGATTTTTTTTTTTTTTTT